CGTTACCAAACTGTGAAGAGGATAGGCAGCAAAATATGTGGCAGATATGTAATGCATTAAACGACCTCTGAAGTGAATCAAAAGAGAAAAAAGTTAGAATGCCGTAATGTTTCAAGTTTTTCTCAACGCTAAAACTTCTTATTTAACATTTTTTGTGGTGTCTTATAATTGCTTTTAAGACAATCTTCTGAGAAAGAACAAAACATAAGAAAAAAAAAACTATTTTTTTGCTACTTTATAGATGTTGAAGTGCTATTTTGAATCTGTGTTTTCTTCCTGGTTTTTCTGTTTTGCCTTTGGCTTTTGCAATTCTTTCATCTTTATTTTTGTCTTTAAAAAAAAAAAATCATTGCAATAGTTCCCATAAAAGTTTTTAAAGAATATGTTTTTGTGTGCTCATTTGCTTCTTTAGCACTTTCATAATAAATTTATTTTACAGCTTCAACAAGCTCAATTCATTTTTTTTCTTCGCTTTTCTTTTTTTTGCTCTCTGTAAAATACTGTAATTCAGCAGTCACATTGACAAAAAAAAAAGATCAAAATATATTTCTTAATCATTTATTTAAAAAATGATATTATAATTCAGTTACAAAAGAAGAAAACGCAGAATAAAGCTAAAAAAAAAAAAAGAAAAAAAAGCTAGAGCATTGAATCGGTTTCATTTTGTTCTAGCATACTAGTGGCATTGCAGAGGAAAGCAGTTGGTGGAGTTCTGTTTCCTCCTTATTTCTGCCAGTTCTACTTGCTTTAGTTTTTGGTGTCTATTGATATGAGTTGGGGTTCACAGTAATAATAGTAATAGTAATAACAATAATATTGCAAGCTATATCATTATTATTGTTGTTTTTATCACAACAGTACCTGCACTAGCTGTAATAGTAATAAAAAATAAAAGCAACAGCAATGTATAAAGAAGTTTTGTCCAAGACCGAGCGTATCAAAATATTCGGAGAATTCTTTTGACGGAAACAATGATAAATCGTTCGGCGGCATAGAAGTTCTGCAAAAGGAATTAATGCAAAAAGCTTTACATATTATTCAAATTTCTCTAACTTTTTGGATTCATTTCTTTTTCTTGGATTTTTCTCGGAAGATTTAAGTGATCTGGTACAGCAACAAAAGTGGCGAAGGTAACGATGTAAGTTGAAATTTATAAAGCAAGAAAAGTTTCAGTTTTAATAAATTGTTTCAAAATTTGTAGTGAAAATACAATTTTTGAAGACAGATTTATTTGTATCAATTTGTTGTTAATAAGAACAATAAATTTTTTTTGTTATATTTATAAACATTATGAGATTTTTGATAATGCCACTGATTGTTTGTTGTTCACTTGGCTTTTATTGCCAACTATAAAGCTCAAAAAGCAGAAAGTTGACAGTTTTTTTGCTATTACATTAATAATTTTTTACTTCGTCAGTTAACATAATATTTCAGATGCTTTAGAAAAGAATTTTTTTTAAACAGTAAGTATACAAAAAATAAGTCATAATACGATTGTGTACAGTGATCTGCTGAGGTACAGGAGAAACAAGGAGATCATATTTGACCCTTCGTTTGCTTATCCTATTCAAATATCCACCAAGCTTTTGATTTCTGTCTATTTCCGACTCGGCTTACTTCAAAAAAGTTTTATTAGTCGAAAAAATTTTTTTAAATATATAGTTTTTGAACAAATTTTTGGTTTAGTCAAACGAAGGTTAAACCTCAATTATGGGTTTTTGTGGTTTTATTGGCTTCGTTGTTATAAATATTTTGAAGATTACTCTTCAGATTAATTTTAGTGCTAACATAAGAAAATTTTATAAGATGATGAAACAATAGGAAAATGCTTAATTCTACTTGTTTATAAAATAATGAAGTTTATTTTGACAAGTTTTCTCTGCCCATTTATTTGTTTCTTTGACATAGATGGTCAATAAAAAGTTGTTGCCATTCTACTTTCTATACTGTTAGCATAGGGCAAGGGTATGGTTATCGACTAAAATTACTGAATCATTATTATAGTAAAGCTAAATGTTGACGACAATTTTACAGGGCTAGAACAAACTGCTTTATTTGGTAATAAATTTTAATAAATAAATAAATAAGCAATTAAATAATAATAATGGAACAAAATATTGAGTCTTGTGTCGTTTAGGTTTAAAATCTGCAGGCTAGTTAGTTAATAAGGTACGTGAGCGTGCGTCGTAAAACAGCTTTCATTATACAATCGATGCTAGTTTCAGCGAAAAAAAAAAAACAACAGCTGTTCTAAAAAAAATTTTTCTGCATCAACCTTACTGCAAAAATTTAAATTTTTCTTGAAACTTTTAAAGTATTATCTCTGAATTCAATGAAACCAAGATTTTCAATTCCAGGCTTTGATAAAACATCAATAACAACAGCAAAATAGATCAACGATAAACGTTGCTCAATAAAAGATTCTGATTGTCTAAACACCGGATACGGGTAACTCATTTGTTAGCAGTACTCAAAACAATTATATTAATCACATCAGCGATTAGATATAGCAACTTAAGTTAATCATAGAGTAGTATTTGAGATAACTGCAAGAAAAGACACCAATATCTGTTCTCAGTGTTTTTCTAAAAACCAGTTAAGCATTCTTTTTCTTCTGCTCACTTTGACTGATATATCAAATTAACAGTTTTGATAAGCTGTAGTAAAGAATTTCCAAAAATTTTCTCTAATAATTTCAAAAACTTAGAATAAAAAAAGTAAAAAACAGCAAAAAAAAGACCAATAAATCTTTTTTGTTTTTCTGATTATAACAGATGTTTTCAGAAATTTGTTTATTATCATCACCAACATCGTAATCATTTAAAAAGCTTTAATCAATGCTCTTATCCTGATCCTTATCGTCGTCATTATCATTAAATAAACTAGTTTTTCTACTTATTGTTCATTGTTGTTCTTACTTTCTTCTGTTTTCTCTTAATTTGTTCTCTTCCTCTTCTTTTTCATCTCCATTATCTTTTTACTACCAAAGTTTTTTCTAAACTCGTCTTACACTTTTCCTAATAATTTTTTTAAAATAACAATTAATATGAAGCAAAACTGAGCAGAAAGAAGAAGAACCAAAAGGGAAACGGATTCTTTCAATATGAGGTGTACTGAATGTCAAGAGAGTATACTGCACAAAGTCGGTAGAAAAATTTCCTTTGTTAGGACACAACCAAAAGTGGTCTCTGCTGTTCGCTATTTCAAAGCTTACGGTGAACAGAGAGTTTATTCACACAGTTAAACAGCGTTTCACTGACCTATTCACATATATATAAATATATATTTGCATTTATCGGTTATTCGACTAATGTACAGAAAACTTTAATTGTTGCGTTATTATTGAAAGCTAAAAATTTGCTTTTTAGACGCTTCTTTTCTTACACTATCTTAAAGAATTCTTTTGTCAAATTAAGGCAGGAAAATGATTATAATTATAAAAAAAGATAATAAAAACTTTTACTTGTGTATCGTTTAATTATTTATTTATTTTTTGTTTGTTGCAATTAAAATATTGTAACCAATTCATGAAACTCACTTAAATTTTGAACACGTTTTAAAAATTACTGCAAAAAAAAAAAAAAAAAAAATGATAATGATGAATTTTCAATTTCTACTGAGAGGAAAAACTTTTCGCTACTACTTTTTTTATGTGACAAAAAGTATATATACATTTGAAAAAAAAAAAAAAAAAGCTTTTAATCAATCATTATCTTTTAAAACTGTGCAACCAAAGCTTAGCCATCATCACGTCAGTGCTTCTGGAAAACCAAACAGATAGACGTCTTCTGAACAACGTCTGATGATTCTCTAAAAAACTATCGCAAAAACTATTTATGCTATGATATTACCCACTTTGCTATATAACGGCAGTTTAATTTAAAAAATGATAATAATTTACAAACAGTAAAAACTTTATCGTTTTAGTGGCGATTTTTTGCATTTATGTACAATAAATGAAAAACAGATAAATGAACAAATTAATTGGTAGCAAAAAAAAAAAAAAAAAAGAGAAGCATTGACAAAATTTTATACACTGAATTTCTTCCCTTTCTTTGAAAAAAATCTAGAATTACATATGATTTCTTCTTTCTTTCTAAACTTAAATGACCGTTTATTAGCATCAAAAAATATTGAAAAATTATTAACACTATTATTTTCTCTTTTTGCGTTTCACATCCTATTTTAAAACATATTATTCCAAATTGGCAAAACTTTTTATTAGAAAATTTTTTAGACAGAAAATTTTCCTTCATGATAAAAGTATTGGCAATGTTTACTTTGTTTAGAAGCGAATAACAGAAAACAGAATTTTCAACTAATAAACTGAGCGCTTTTAAAATTTGAGGACGATTTACAAATTAATAAAATTTTTACTTCATCATTAATAAGAGCTAAAAAAAAGTGGAAAAGAAGAAAATTAAATATGCAGATATGAAATAATTAAATGAAAAAAAAATTTTGTAAATTTAATTTTTCATCTAAAATTCTTTCTTTTTACAGAAAGATTGTTCTCTGCTTTTTATGTTTTTTTCCATCTGTTTACTTCATCAAATATTTTTGCATTCACATTTTTATTATCATTATTTTTTTGAATTATTATTACTACCAAAAATGTTATTTATTCTTATTACAACCATTATTTTAATCATTCAACTCTTTTATCTTTTTACCAGCTTAATACGCCTTTTTAATAAAACTTTGAGATGTATATAAGCAGAGGGAAGAGATTTGGTGCATTTATATTGCAAACATTTTTGCTTCATCCAACTACTTCTTTTTTTTTTTTTTTTTTTTTTTTTTTTTTTT